GCAGAATGTTTAGAAAACTGGCCTGTAATCTTAACTTCAAATGTATCTTTTCAATTTGCTTACTCTTGTGTGTCTTATATTTGTATTCCTTTAGTGTTCTTGGAAGCTGAGCTAAAAACGAGATGATAATATCCTAGCGTTCTGGGAAGATTAAATAAGTATCTACATTGAGTGAAATTAAGTTTGTCTTACAAGCTGAGGTATCAAAGCAATTCTACAGTTTTAAATGTTTGCTCGAGAAGTTTACTTTTGAATGTTTTGGAATTAATGAGATGATTTTTAATCTTAGGTTATTTAGTCAGAAAAGGTATTCTAAATGCTTTGTATTGCCTGATTATGCATCTTCACCCTGGTAAATAACCATTTTTTAGAAACCGCATCTGTTCTGAAAATAAGTATGTGTACTTAGTTATCCTGCATATTCTCCAGATTTGTCTCCGTACGATTTTTTTTTTCCCCTAAAACTAAAGTTACCTCTCAAAGGAAAATTTCTTTTTGACGTGAAAGAGACAAAAGGAATATGATATGTATTCTTAGAGACATGCATAAATATTAACTATAAGGAACAATATCAAATGTTCTTATAGGGCTTAAGCGTTTTTCTTCTCTACTGGTTTGCAAGTTAGTAATAGTCCTCTACGAACCTCTACAACAGGTCATGATTAGTTTTATTTTGTATTTACTCGATCCCTTCTGGATAGGCAAGTTATTGCATTAGAAAAGGAAGGAGCACTAACAGCATACAGATGTGTAGAAAGCACAACACAAATTATTATAATTAGGATTTAAGTTTTATTGTTTTATTCCCACACTCATGGAGTTGGTTTCATTTCTCTTCTGTATATAAATAGCCTCAATTACATATATATTAATCTTTGTAGCGCTCAGTATACAGTGTTACTATTAATTTCCTACTGCATTGGATTCATATACTTACGCACTTTACTGTAGCTCTTAATGTAATGGTTTCATATGCATACTACTGTAATATTTTGTAGAAATTTATTATTATATATCACGTATACCATTTTTCTCCTTACTGCGATTTAGAACTTTACCATAAGTCTTAAACTATCAGTACATGTTAGTAAAATGCACCTTTAGTGTTTACGTTTCTTTCTTTACTGGTAAGTATGGTAGAATTAGCTTCTTGTGAACTGGATCTTTTGTAAAACGTAATACTATTATTTAGTAATAATTAGTTCCTTTTCTGTACAAGAAGACACTATATTAGAACAGTAAGCAGCATAGTATATAGTAGGTAATATTGTTGCGTTTCTACGGGTTCTTGGATTTGGAGTGATTGACGACAACACTTGATGAAAATGGAAAACACAATTTATTAGCCACTGTTACTCAGGACAGCTCCAAAACCACGTTTACAGTCGTCAAAAAACTACGACAAGCACACTGAAACAATCAGCAACACAGCCCTCAGGCTATAACGGTGAAGATAGCTTCACTGAAAAAGTAAAGTACCAGAGTACAGCTCCAGAGTCGGTTCGGTCGTTCTCGGAACTCAACGTACTCTCCAGACTCTCCACACTACAACTCGCAATGCACTCGACGATACACTCGATAGCCTCAACGATGCACACTCTCCATGCACCAAATCGCAATACCCTGACGAGACACTAGACTGCTACTCCGCGTACAGGCAGGGTTTATATAGCTTTTGGCCTGCCTTCGAAAACATTCTGGGCCAAACCGGTAAGAATTCGCTCCAGAATATTCTCCATTCGTATATGTTATATCGTCAATTTTATTGCCAAATGGGCGATTTCGCGCCAAATATAGCAACCCTGCATTCCCTTGTCATTTTCTGGCAACCCTAAACATGCTTTGAGGGAAAGCTACCTTATCGCGACTAGGAATTTCGTAAAAGTATATTCAAATCTTTTCTTATGCATTGGTTCTTAACGAATTGGTTATAATTGTGTTATTAAAGTGATATTTTGCAATTATCTATTGGTGTAATGTTTCATGCATTTATATGTTATTACGCTATTCATATGGACTATACTGTATTATTTTGCAGCGCGCCTCTGCAGTATCATCCTGATTTAGTAAGTTAGCTGATTTTACTTATATTTTGCAATGGAGTTTATAGAACCACTAGTATAGACATACAGTGTTAATTAGCATCCGCATATAATTTATCTTGCAACATGATTTTTGTACTATAGAATTCATACACAGTAACTATGTTGATCACAGTTTTGGGATCACTTGTATATTAATAGATTATTATTATTGTTATTATTGTTTTGCCCACGTTTCGACAGATAGTAGATTTCTCCGCTGGGATGGCGTTCCGTTTTATTCACCTTCGTGGTCGGAAGCCATCTCAGAGACGCACTGAAACTTAGAGACATGTCAAAAACATATTACAAGCCTTCTCTTTCATAATCTGTCATACTTGGATTAAGGCAGGAAGTTGCATCAATGTAAACTCTACAACCCTTTTTAAAATACACTCTGACTTTTTAATTGCCATATACTGATTACACTAAAACTTTGATTACGAGCTTCGGTAAGTCGGAATTTTTGACGAAAAGGTTGTCGGAACTGGGAAATCGGATACAAGTCAAAGCATGCATTTGAAAATCGAACTAATTCAAGGTCAAATTTTCAGCAGTTTTTTTCAGGGGGGGGGAGAATTTCTAGTTTTTGGCTCATTTAAGCTTGACTATATTTGGATTGATTCTCTGCTTTTTTCCATAAAAGCGAATATCTTACGTATGTTATACATATTTCGTAATGCGTACTTTCAAATTAAAATTTAACAAGCTAAATTAAGCTTTAACAGTTTGACGGTTTGTGTTATATCCCATGTTTTAGTAAAAATATATGAAATATAAATTTTTACATATGTTACAAACGTTGTTTCAAGTAGCTAGCTTTCTCTCTTACTATTGAAGTTTATGTAAAAATATGCACTTTAATTAGAAATTATTGGTCTTGAAAATTGTTAAAACATGATTTAAATTGCTTGTATCCGATACAAAGATAAGGTCAGTCGGTGGGATAAAATAAACGCTACCTTCTGCTGACCAGAAGAGTTTGGGGGATGCTTTATTTTTTGTTATTCGGTGAAAACGTTTTCACTCAAATACTATTTCCCCTTTGGGCTTTTCTTTAAACTTTATTTATAGTTAAAATGTCTAGAAAACGAAACGTTGTTTCCCAAAGGAAACGCGTCTGATTCAACTGAAATTTTAAATGAATTTGACGTAACAGTAGAAAAATCTTCATTTTCTTCTGTCAACACTGAAAACAAATGTAGAAGAAATGTAGAAATAAATCTGGAAGGAAAGGAGGTAATTAGAAAAAAGAACAATTTGAGGGAAAATCCATTTCAAAGAAGTTGCATATTCAAGAAGAAAATGCCTGGAGGTTTTCACCATATTTTGCTAAAGTGTTTCGCTACTGCAGTGCGTAAAATATAACAGCAAATGAGCCTTAACTAATAGAAAAGAACAAAAGGTATCCTCTCAGATGAATGCAAAGAGAGACAGTTTCTTTGACTGAATGGCTGTGTAAATGACATCACACACCATCATGTCATGTCATAAACGGAGAATCTCAAGATGTCTCACTGGAACTAGTTGAAGATTGAAGAATTTATCCAAGGACGTATATGGATATAATCTAATGATGTTTGTTTATGAAATCAGTCTTTCCTTTAATCTATTGCCTTCAAAACGCCTAGCTTCTAAAGACGGTCAGTATCAGGTTAAATGTTGATTCCCTTCCTCTGACTAAATAATAATGAAATGGGAGGCGAAACCTTTACTTATATGAAAATCAGAAATACAAAGATATTTCGAAAATATTTGTGGTATATAGCGAGAAATAAAGGATGGATTATATTTAATATAACTGCAGAATGCCTGAAGAGAAACGGCAAAAAATTTAGTATTTTTTTAAAATTTAAAATTGAATATTTAATCTTACGCTATTTGATTCTTGCGATTTGAAAATTACCACATTTGACTAAAATATTAATAATATTTTACGAAACAAAGAGTAGGTAATAAAACTGTGTAAGGCAATGTATTAAACTCCCCCTTCCCCCCAAAAATTAGAATGTCGCTTATACATTTACATATCTTTTCTGAATGGGCCATTCTGATTCTTCATGTTAAAAGAATATAATGGTAAAGAAAGCTATTTGAATAAATGATGCACCTTTTTTACGAGTGTGCACAATGAAAGGGAAATTGAACTACTAAATAAATAGAGATATTTCGTATAAATAAATTTTTAGTAAGAATTATAAAGCATAAATTAATATATCCTCAGATGCTTATTCTAAGCCGCAAGTTGAATTTCGTCAATCAGCCAAGCAGAACGAGAGGCGCAGAACTATTTCTTTCTTTCTTTTCTTTTCTTTTCTTTTTCTTTTTTTCTTTTTTTTTTTTTTTTTTTTTTTTTTGTTTTGTTTTTTTTTGAATGGCTGTATTTCCAAGCAACTGCAGTCGATCACCTGAATGTTAAAAATGACTGCAAAGTTTTTGTCTTTAGCTAATGTCCTCCTAACAACTAATATATAAATAAAATATATAATCTGTTCTAACTGACACAATAACTTCCCAACGACTGTCTTTTTTCTTATTCGACGGGAGCGTACATTTTCAACAGCAGCCCATTTTGTTCTCATTTGCCTATTTCAGTTCGTCTGGGAAACATTTTACGGTTTTGGTGATTATAATTTACACGGAGTATGAATAAAAAAATATACATTTTGTCTTAAAATAGGAATTTCAGCTGTTTATATTACTAATTTTCACGAATTGTTTTTATTTAATTATTTCACAATTTTGAAACGTGGACTTTTTTTTGCAGTGAAATTTATTAAATATGGAAAAAAATGCAAGGGAAATAGAAGACATTATTTTAATTAATAATAAATTGAATTGCTCTCAAATGATTCATTTTTGATTTTGAACAAAATATGGAGGAAAAAATGAGTTCCTTTTCGAGAAAAAGAAACTTACTTGATTGCATCAACCATACTGAGACCCATGTGAACGCAAAGCACAGCATGATCTGGCCTTTCTTCGGGAGCGCCACTGATACAGTAGTAACAGTCACCAAGGATTTTTATCCTCAGCTGATGATATTTCTGCAAAATAAAACGCGAATATACAAATATTTTATGTTAAATAACATTATTCCAAACCAAATATAAATATAAATATTTAATAAAAAAGTAGTACATTCAGCCATTTATAACATTGTTTTTTTCAACCTTTTCTAAAGAATTCTTCAACCTATGGATGCGTTACTAAAGCAGCTGAAGAAATTCTCATACAGAATTATGAAAAAGTTTGAGATTTTTTAAAGGTAAAAATCCTTCAGTTTTTCAATTTAACTAATTATACATGAGACTTTTCTGTTGCCACAGGTCTTAAAAATATTACTTGTTAATAATCATTTGATAGTATGTTAATAATTTTGAAGAATGGTACATTATATTGCGGCTTAAATTGCATAATAATAAGGAATTTAGTAAGCGCTTTTCATACTTTAATTCTGGCTTTTTACTGCATCTCCAATTTTCGGTAAAATGTAGCCCAAAACTAAGCTGCGATACTTCGTCGTGTAAATAAATTATCATCATTTTCCTGTAATTGAAATGCTCATGCTGTAATTGAAATAAAAATAAAAAAAAATTCTTCGATAAAAATTTGCAAAATATAGATGAAATATTTGACAAAATTTAAAATAACCGTTAGTATCCCAAAAAGACTATAAGTCTTGAAACACAATTTTGCACTGTCTCCCTTTAATGCATTGTTTCACTTTTCATTCAAGTTTGTTTCCATTCGTAAAGATAAGAAATTATTCTTTCATATTTAATCTATCTGTTATTAATTTAGAAACTAAACTATTTAAAAGCAGTAAACGCAGATCTTAAGAATATTATTTTTTTTACAGAATTATGTTCTTACTATTATTTTTTTTACTTTACAAATACACAGAAGATATATAAAAGTTACTTTTCCATGTTAGTCTAAACTTATATTCATCTTGCATCCTATAAAACGTTCCAATATTCCAACTCAGTCATCTCTATTGCTAATCTTTGCTGATAAACTATATTAAAATTTAAAAAAAGCCCTTTTAAAGAATCATGAAAATCTGAATTCCATCATTTTTTTTCTTTTTTTTATTTCAAATGAGTTATACAAGAATACTCCTGTTTCCTTTATCAGGAAAAGTAATAATAATAATAATAATAATAATAATAATAATAACTATGCTTACATCTCAAAATATCTGCTAACTCAGCATTAAAAATTTAATGCCTTCAATAAAACACTCCGTGTTGTAGAATTACGGTATGATTTTTAAAGAACTTTGCTAAAGTTATGGATAAAAGTGGGCTAGGAGTCATGCATCTAAGAAACACATTTAATAACGTGAGTGATGTTAAAGTTTACAGAAAGAAACACTTTTGGGATATGACAGATTGAAAAATGTTTAGATCAGAAATTCGATATTCAGCTAAAATGCTGCATATCAGGTTTGCAAGAATGTTTGGAAAGAAATGCAAATACATAGCTAAAATATAATGGCTAAACTTGAACCTAATTTATTCATGCGTGCTGAAAATTTTAACTATGTATCACAAAATGTCCTTACATGATAGAAAAATTCTAATTACATATTTAAATTCAGTAACACAAATAGTGTTACGTTCATAGTATATTTTGATAGTAATAAGAAAACAAATGTTATATAATCAAGTGTAGTCAAAATCAATATGGAATTGCGTCAATTTATGGAACAAATTATCAGCATATCATCGGTAATCTTATCAGGACTACTGTTTCTTCTAATTGCTTTCGCAAACATACTGGAGTCCTGAGTAGAACAGGGAGTTCCTACAATTTCCTACATGTGTAGAGGATATGACACAAATGGGAAGGGTTTAATTACCCTTTATTCTTCACAGTTTACAGCTTTTCTCGCACTTCGGGATATAAAGACCGGTACTTATGGTCTGAAACGTAAAATTAAGAATTACAATCTAACTAAACTAAGTAAGAATTAAACTCCAATGCTTTACAAAGACTAGTAACGCAAAGATCGACCTTTTAAACTTCACGTATGTAATAAGCAGAATGCGGGAACTACAATACATCTTCTAGTATCAAAGAGAACTAAAGTCTGGCCTTAAAGACAGCTCACAGCAACTGACTGAAAAGCACGCGTGAGGTAAAGTAGCGAGAAGTCTCTCTTTCTAACTCCTTCTTGGCCAAAAGCCACAACTTAAATACTAAACAGTTTGCAGGCTCAATTTGCATAACCAAACAACCGCCTTTTTTCTGGCCGGAAATGGAAAATAATAGAGGACAGTAAAGTTTTAAAAATAAAACAAACGTTAGTAAAACTTAATCTTTACAATCTTTCCGCTTATATTTATAATTAATGGAATTGTATACATCTTTTAAGATAAATAAATTTTTGCTTCAGAGCACACCTTTCAGAATAAGAGCTTCGAATATCTTTATTTAACAACACAATTACTAAATATAAAGAACGTTAATCAGTTTTTATTGCTACTAAAATAACTGTCGTCTAAGACATCCTTTTTGGGTCTTGTTTTCTAGCATACACTACGATTCAAAACAATAACAGAAATTAGCTTAATAATCAAAGTATAAACTTCTACAGACTGATAGGAAAGCACTATAATTGAAAACACACTATCAAAGTCAGGTCAAATTTGCATTAAAACGATTGCCTATTGTTGACAATCAATACAGAATAGAATACTAACATGAATTATAAATTCATATGAATTACATTTCATAAATAAATGACAAACATAATATGAATTATATTTCACAGTAATATAAAAACAACATCTCGAAGAATGGCTGAAGTAGCACTACATGAACTGAATGTGAAGACGAAAGGGCGATGTTGCTCGCCTGTAAGTATTATCCACAAAGAATTAGTTTTTCTTGGTAGCCAAATATATTTGTAAACTATTATTGTATGCTTCTAAGCAAAGTCTCATCGATTGGCAAATTGTTTCTTTTACAGCTGGTGGCTTTATTCGTTGCGATAGGCTAATGATGCGTTTCAAATCAGAAAGAAGTAATAAACTTATTGGAAGGCTAAAGAACCGCAGGCACAGAAGTTAATAGATTTTAGTTGTCTGAGTAAGTGGCTTACACGCGTTAGTTAATATTAAAAAAGTGCTTTAAAATGACTTTTTTCTCGCCTCGCTAAGCTTAAGGACGAGCATGATTCGCGAACATTACTTAGTATTACTTCGAACGTAGTATTACTTCGAAGACTAGTAACTATTAACGTAGTATTACTTCGAAGGACTAGAAAATATACAGTGTCGGCTGTTAATGAAATGGAAATAATTCATGTAATTTCTTCATCTATTATGACGATACTTACAAAAATACTGGAAGTTACATTTCATCTTTCAGTGCACATCCCTAACGACACCGGGTATAATATATAAGTACTATATATATATTCTTTTTACTTTACCTTAAATTATACATTTATAATACATAAACATATACTTCATAATTCTCAAAGAAATTTTTGTGATGCTCTATGTTTCTACATATACGTGTACTTGAGCAGGATAGCATTACTCATATGCCTGAATGGTAAAGTGAAATAAAAATGCTGCGTATTTAGTATATAAGTGAAGATTCTTTTTAATAAAGAATACTAAGTTCATTTTGCTTTGCACTCAATTTACTTTATACAGTATGTATCATTTCATATTTTTCTGAAGTACAGGAAAACCTTGCCATATGCGAATTGAAGCATCGTGAAATTAAGTAGTGCAATTATGAAGAGTGAATGTAAGTGCAGTTATTCATTTTTGGTGAGATATTTTCTCAAACGCATAGAAGATAAATGTTAAATAATTTTACACCATGCTTCGTAATGTTCCTGTATAAACATTTTTAATACAATTTTCGCCTAATTTTAATTAGTATGCACAATTATTATTATTATTATTATAAATCCTAATGTCTATTCTTCGGCCCATCGCTGAACATTAGTAATTCGACCTGGGTTCAAAGCATGGCAAATAAACTAGATGCATGGGAATTGTCATGGTTTTCCCCTTGTCTAGGGGTACAGGCTTAGTCAAGTGGTTTCTTCGTGGTACTAAAACCACAGGGCTGAAATATTTAGACCCAGGTGTAGCATGTATACTAGCCAGGATTCCTTAAAATATCCTCCAGGAATTCTTTCCTTAGGCATATTGCCCTAGAGTTAGTAACCATTATCTAAATAAATTCTAATTTTAATATTATAATGTTCTTTACCCAATACATGAATTATGTAAATGCGAAATGTTAATATTATTAATGAAATGTTAATATTATTAATATTATATTTCCGGGTACAAAATTGCATTTCTTCACTGTTTTAAAATTTCTTAATCAAGGTAAATGAAGTACGGGTTATCTTCCTAATGCCATCACCATTTCCTAATACCACTATCTCTCTTCCAGTATCAATTTTGGTTGTCAGTATTCCATGCGCCAAAGGAAAGAAAGATGACCCATTTATTAACTCCCAACTCTTTGTGCATCCAACAGAGATGAATCAACTCTTTGGCAAACTCACAATAGGTCAGGATGACAGAACAGACAGCAAATATTATCAGAGTAAATAATATGGATATTAAATGTAGAAACCCTGCATAGCTGTACAGATATAAACGTAACAATTGCCATTGGCTTCCAATTCGGAATAGGATAACAGAAATTGAATATTAAAACCATAATTATAAATTTTAACATCTGAGGCAAACATCAGAAGTGATGCCCTTAAACATTGATTTTCTCACTTTTATTATTCACCAATTGTTTTGGCAGCCTCTACTTCTTATTGAAACAAATGTTTTATCAGTCCATTACCTTTAAGATGTTTTTAATAATAAAATAATAAGCTATACAGAAGATTGCCTGATAGGAAGTATTAATAAGTGCAACTATTGAATACAGTGTAAAATAACATAACACATAAGTAATATACACAGAGTTTATATGCTAATATGAAAATGAGACAAAAATATATAAAATACATTACGATCATCGCATACATCCTTCCTGGATGGCTTTA